CTTGGGAGCCTCTTAGGGGGCTTTTCGGGAGCCTCTCTGGCTGGCTCAGGGCATTCCTGGCCCGTCTGACGCCGTCGAAAGCCGTCTGGGGGCCTCTCTGGGCCGATTTGAAGCACTCTTGGCGTGCTCCATAGCCGTCTTGGAGGCTATCTTGAGCGTTTTGGAGGCCTCTTGGGCCGTCTGGCCGTCTTGGGGGCCTCTTGGGCTGTTCTGGGGCCATCCTGGAGGCGATCTTTGGGGGCTTTTGGGTCGTCTCGGGCCGTCGGAAGGCCGAAAGGAAGCAAATGCCACAATCCTTCCAAAACCGAATGACAGTAAATGAGGTTGGCCTCTTCGGGCCTTCCTGGAGGCCCTCTGGGGGGCGTCTTGTGAGCCTATGGGGCAGTCTTGGGCCATCTTGGAGGCTTCTTGGGCGGACTCGGAGGCATCTTGGAGCCATCTTGGGCTGTCTTAGTGGGTTCTTCGGCGGATTGGGAGGCAACTTGGATCATCTTGGGCCATCCTGGATACCATCTTGGGCCAACGTAACCATCTTAGAAGCCATCTTGAGCCGTCTTGGAGAATTGTTGCGGACGTTGAGGTCGTTTGCGGTCGTTCGCGCTTTTTCTGGGTGGCCTGCGGGACGGGCCGATTTGGAACAGCAGAAAAAACAAAAGCGGTGGCATCTAGCACGCCAGGCACCCTGTGAAGAATCAACAGGGGGCGGATCTTCGCCACCGTGCTTGGGTTGTGTGTCATAGGCCTCTCGTTGGGGTGTCGCGGGAAGCCTCTCGGGGCCTATTGAGGGCCGTCATGGGGCCTCGTTTGGGCCTCTTCAGGGCCTCTTGGGGCCCTCTTGGGGCCTCCTGGGGCCCTCTCGGGGTGCAGAGCTAGAAATTTCGATTCGTGGTTCCCCTCCTGGACCCCTCTTGGGGCCCTCGTGGGTCCTCCTGGGCGCCTCTTGGGCCGTCTTGGCGGCCTTTTGAGGCGATCTTTCGAGCCTCTTGGGCTGTCTTCGAGCGTCCGAAGCCGAGAAGGCGAGAAAACCAACAAGTTCCAAACATCCAAGGCACAAAAACTGAATTTCGCCGCTTGGGGCCCTCAGGGAAGTACTCTTGGAGGCTTCTTGGAGCGTCTTGGAGGCCTATTGGACCGCCTTGGGGCTATCTTGGGCGTCTTGGAACCATCATTCGTCGACTCGGGGCCTTATTGGACCGTCTTGGGGGCCTGTTGGGGCGGGAAGCCCCCGTCAAGCCGCGACAATCAATGCCCGAGAGATTTGACATTCTGGGCTCCGGGCCCATTAAGACTTCGCAGGATTGAGGACTGGGGCTAACAGAGTCAGGCAAAGGAACAGAGGACACGCTCACTCCGTGCCCAGAGACACGGTGGCGGATACCCTCGCAATCGTCTTCAGGGCGCAATAGCGTCGATTAGCGTTTGGCAATCTACGGGATAGCGCCGATTCAGCGTCGATTAGCATCGATCTAGCGTCGACTAGCGTCGATTCGCAAGAGCAAGCAAGATGGCATGGGAGGCCCCCGGGAGTTGCCGCAGAAGACGCTGCTAGTCGGTGTTCCTCTGGGCAGGTGGACGCTCCCCTGGCGCGCGTGGGCGTGGAGGACTTCCGCAGGCTGGCCGGCCTCGCAGCGCCAGGGCCCAGCTGCCTGGCGTGGCTGGAGAGCTCGGGGCCCCGGGCGCCAGCTGCTGCCAGGGACCACCGCGGGCTGAAACAATGGGTTTGTTAGGGCAAGGCCAGTCACTTTGGGATTCTCCCTTCCTGTCGCCCGCTCCTCTCCCCCGCTCTCCCTCCTTTCCTTCCTTGCCGAAGCCGCTTGGGCTCGAGCGAAGGTTACGCGCCTTTTCGCAGGGGGGAGCAGGCCCCCCCCAGAACCCATGGTCTTCCTCCTCACCGGCAGCCTCGCACCCGCCCTCGCAGCGCTCGACGGGCCGCGGGAACTGGGGGCCCGCATCCTGGAGCAGCTGGGCCAGACCCAGCGCGGGACCCGTCTCTCCCTGGGCGGGGCCCTCCCCCCAGTGGATGCGGCCTCAGAGAACCTCGTAGCCGGAAGGGCGGGTGGCGTGGGGCGGTTTCGCGCGGATTGGAAGGCGCTTCGGCGGCCCAGAGCTCCCCGCCTGCCCAGCCTCCGGAGTGCTCCGGGCCCCTGGGAGGGCCACCGAAACGGGGTCGGAAAGGCGGTGCCCGATCCTGAGCTCCAACGGGCCGGGCCCAGACCGACCGCGCCCACATCCAGAGGCGGTCGCGGGCCACGTAGGAACGTTGGTGGACATCGTTCGGCTGGTTGGCCCCACAGCCCGAAGACCAAGCCCCCTCGAAGCCTGGCAGATGCCAGGGGGCACGCTGCGGGACTGGAAGGCGGGACTCGGTTGACCGCCCCCGAGGTCGCGCTCGCCGGCGCGGTCCGCTCCCTCCCGTCAGGCGCCACGCGCCAGATTCTATGGGCCGCCGCCGCTACGCAGAGGGAAGACGAGACGGACGCGGACACGCGCGCGGGGGCATGCAGGGACCCGGACGAGGAGTTCATGGCGGCGCCAACAACTGGCGGTTTAATTCTTGGAAGGCGAACCCGAGCAAACCCTGCAGCGACCGCGAGAGCTGGCTCCGGGAGGCCAAGGGTGGCCAGGCTGGGGCCCGGGACTCTCCCGAAGGAGGCCCAGAGCCCGCACGAGCAGGGGCTTCCGCCCGGCCATGATTGGACCAGCCTGAGCCGGCTGCGAAGCACCCAGGCGCAACGGTTCTCGCTGGAAGACGAGGAAGCGCGGGCACAGACCCAGGCGCGGCCCGCAGCCCGCCTGCCTCCAGCCCGCGGCCCGCCCGTTGGGGTGCGGAAGGAGAGACCCAGCCCCAGACCGGCGGGGGGCGGTTGCAGGGGCAGCGAGAGGCAGTAAGGGACGGGTACACATTCGGGCAACTGGCCAAGGGCACCCGCTTCTCCTACGCGATCGGGCGGAGGCAGTGGCTCACTTGCATGAAGGTAAGGGAGCAAATCCCTTGCTTGATTGACCTGGGTCGTGACGGGCAGAAGGATGGCGAGGGCGCTGGACTGGGTTGTCCAGCTGGCACACTACCAGAAGCTTGCGGAGGGCACGATCCGGCAGAGTTTGATGGCCGTCCGCCACTTCCACGTCGCTGCGGGGCCCTTGGAGCTGGCTCCCCGCCTCTGGCTGGCCTCGGTGGGCCTGCGCCGCTTGGGAACGAAGCAGGACCGCATGGAATGTTGGCACGGCTCCGGAAGGTGCTGAACGCGGGGAAGATGGGGGACGCCGCCAAGTGGGCCGTTATCTTTGTGGCCTTTTTCTCCATGCTCCGGGCCTCGGGCTATGTGGCGGACGCCTCCAAGCCGTGGGCCGCGGAGCGGGTTTTCCTTGGAGGGGGCGTCGCCCCAACGAAGGGGGGGCAATATGCCCCGCGTTCCCGGGGAGCAGACGAGACAGTCATCTATATCAAGGGAAGCAAGACCGATCAGTACAATTTCGGGTGCTGCCGCAACCGTTATACCACTGGCAACGACTTCTGCCCAGCGAAGGCGCTGGCGCAGACTGCTGTCGCAGCAGCTGCGGCAGCAGTGGGCATCGGAAGCTATTTCCAGATCGGGGGCGCCACCGCCAAGTGCCATGCCGCCCCTGATCTGGAGCGGCTGATGCGGTCCCGCCGGTGGAATCCAGCGCCGTCCACGCGCGCCCGCGGGAAGCGCGCGAACCGCAGCAGGGGCTGGCGAAGGCCGCGTCAGAGCTCAGAGCTACCAGCTCATTTGGGCAGTGCGAACCGGATGAAACCCCACGCAAGGAAAGAGGAAGGGCGGCGCGGCGTGCCTGTCTCATAAGACCAACCGAATGAGCACCCCACACGCGGGGCAAGGACACCGCAGGGGAGAGCCCGAGCAAAGCGGCTAAAGGAGAGATGCCGTTCAGTTAGAGCGGGAAGGTGCAAGTTTGCGTTTCTAACAAGCCTTGGAACACTAGGGGCCCGGACCCTCCCCCGCGCTCACCGCGCGGGGAAGGTACGCCCTGGCCCGCCGCCACACGGGGCCCGAAGAGGTCTTTTGTTCCCGTTGGTCAGCCGGCTTAGCTAGTTCAGTGCCGTCAGGGACACCACCGCGCCATTTGATGTGCGCACTGGGAAGGCTGCTGCGCCTCCCAGTAGTGCCGCGCCTTTTCGTCGCCTCGCGAGGCTCACCTTGTCAAGCACGCTAGCGCGCTTGTCTAGGGTGGAGCCCCAACCCGCCAGCGCCGCTACTGCTGCCCTGCCGCCACTACGCTGCGTGCGGGGTAACTGGGCGAGAGGGTGGGCTACGCCCTGGGCGCCCTCCTCCACCAGTTTATCGCCTTCATCATGGGACTGGTGGACTCCATGGGCCGGTACTTGCTCGGGGCCTACTGGGCCAAGCTGCAGTGGGCCGCCATGGGTCTGGCTGCGATCGCGGTGGCCGCCGTGCTGGGTTCTGCCTTGGGCTTCGTGGTCTGGTTCGTGAAGACAGCGTGGGGATACTCGACACTGTTGTTCACTACGCTGAGGGGGTTCGCGCAGGGCCACAAGTCAGGGCACTCGGCGTGCCAAGGGGGCCCGACCGTGGAAGGCCCCCCCCTTCGCTGCACACACCGCGTTCGTGCGTAGTCTGGGGAGGTGTGCTTTTCGGAAGTAGCGCTTTGCATGGGGGGTCCCGTGGCTCCCCCCCCCCGTTTTTGGGCGGCGGACCGCTGTGCTGCCGAGCCCGCATAGCGCCACGGAAAATGACCCTCCCGCTCTCTCTCCTTGTATCGGTTGAGTTCACCGCGGGAGAATATGGTTTTGTTATGGCGCGGCCGGTGCCTTTGGGGTTCTCTCTTCCTGTCGCCCGCTCCTCTCCCCCTCGCTACCTCCTTTCCTTCCTTGCCGAAGCGATTTGGGCTCGAGCGCGCTTTTCCTCCCACCCTGCACTCATTTCCGCCCTGACATGGGCGGCGGCGGCGGCGGGCATTTCCCACGCAGCGCCACGGGAGACGACCTTCCCGGAACAAAAAGAAATAATTGCATAAACATGAATGCTCGACGGTCCGCGCGGACCGTCAAACGTTTACGTGTATGTTGTTTTTTCTTCCTGAATGAGCGCGTAGCTTTGTGATTGTTCGTCGTCGCGCACTGTTATCCTTCGAGGGTTGACACGTTGCGTTTCCCAGGGTGCTTCGCGCACTTTCTTCCGACATGTGTCGCCACGTCATGAAGGCGTCCGCTTGCGCGGATCGCGCGCGCCTGTCCGTTCAGGTTCGCCAGACGTTTCGGCTTCTTTCGACGTCATAGTGGGTGCATCAGGCGCGACTCTGGCGAATCGAAAGAAGCAGCATTTTTCGCAGCCGCTTTCGCACACAGCACATGTGCCGAATTTCCTTCAATATTCTCACATGTTTCTTGTCCACGCCGATTCAAATTAGCTGACCCAGAATCGAAAACGGTAAGGTGCCCTAAAAGAGCGTCAGAGGGTCCCAGAATTCCTTGCGGTTTCGTCTGGATCTCGTCGGAATTGTCCACGTATGAGCGAAATCCGTTCGACATTTGAACGACATCCGGTCGAAATCTGGTCGAAATTTGGTCGAACTTTGGGCGACAATTGGACGAAGTCCAGTCGAAATCACGTTTGCGATCGGGCCGCGGAAATCCATAAGAAGGCTCCCATGGAAGGCTTGCCCAACCCAGGGTGCCCTGTTGTCACAGTCGGCCGTTGGCGCGTTGATGCCCTACGTGTTGCTGCTCTGCGATTGGTGCCCCAGGGGGCTCGCGGTTCGGTCGGTTCGGCTGCATGGCAGTCGGTTCGGTTCGGTCGGTTATCGTGTCGTTGCCGCGCCGTTGCGCCCGTCTGGATTGCTTGCGACCTGTCGAGTTCGGTCTGTTTCGGGTTCGCTCTCGGTTCGGTTTGTTTTCGGCCTTGAAGTAACCGCGCACGGCTTTATCTAAGGGTTGGTGCCCTGTGGATGTTGTCCTATGGCTCCGTGTTTGTCGCAGTCCTCCGTTCGTGTGCTGGTGCTCTACGGTTGGTGGGACCTGTGGTGCCGGGGTTGTCCCAGGTGGCCGCAGGTGCGCCCGTGCTCCATTGGTTGGTTCTTTGTGCTCTGCGCCCTGTGCCGAACAGGAGACGCATGCATAAACATAGATTTTCGGAGCTCCGCGCGGATTTCTTGGGATCTGCGCTGGGCCCCCCTGGCGGCGCCTCCGACGCCGCTCCTGCCGCGCGCTGGGGAGGGGGGGGGGGGGCAGCGCGGATCCAACAGATCCGCGCGGACCGTCGAAAGTTGATGCTTCTTTTTCTACCACTGGCTGGGGCTCCATCTGGCGCCCCCAGCTTGGCCTGCAGCTGGAGGGGCGCTCCAAGTGAGGCACGTCGTGCCAGCGGGGAGCTTATGTTTCGTTGGTGTCGTAACGCCTGTCGGCGCTATGGTTGGTGCCCCACCAGTAGTCTGTTTGTCGCCTTCGGCCGCCGGCGCACCGGTGCCCCGTGGTTGTTGCCAGGTGGTTGCTGCATTGTAGTGCGCATCAAATTCGGTATCCCACGGTGTGCCGTCGGTTCCCTTGCCTCGAGAATATTGTTCGCCATGGGGGGCACGGGTCCTGAGGGAAACCGGTCCTGAGGTAATTCACCGTTCTCGGGCTCTCGAAACTTTCTAGTGGCCCCAGGACTGTCAGAAAACGATTCAGGATGAAGAAATTGCTTTGGGGAAAGGCACCAGGGTCCAGGACCCGTTTCCCTCAGGAACCGTTGCCCCCATGCTAAATTGCATTGCAAGCTTACGTCGTGTCGACTTCGGCGTTGGGCCGTTTAGATCGTTCAACATCGACCGATTATGGGTCGCCGGCGGGGTATTCCAAATCTTTTGAATATAAATTTGATTCTCTAAGGATTATGGGTTGCACCCAATAGATCGCACCCCATCGCTGCACACGCATACATAAATTGGACCTCATGGGTTGCACACGGTCACTGCTTGGGGTCCCACGCGCTGGCATCATTTCAAGTCAGGGTGTTGAAGGCAAAGTTCGTTCAATCTTGAGTCGAACCCGCACTTTCTCGATACGCTTGTAAGTCTACTCTTGTGAATGTGTCCTCGATCCCCAAGACTGCGTGTTTGATATATGGTTTACTGTTGTAACTTGTGCACTCATCATCTAGCATTCGGCCCCCGTCGGAGTCGCACCCGCTTGCACTTCGTATGTTATCGATGCGTTGTTGAACAGTTTGAGCCATCCCATGAGGATGTTCACAACCCTTCCTTACGTATTGATGTTGCTGTACACGCCGGAAGGACGACGTTGGAAGACCCTACATGGGTTCCCACAGGGATTCGTGGGTCCACTCACCAGACATTGAACTGAGTATTGTGGCGACTCGGCCTGCAACGGCGACCATCTGCCAGATGTAGTCTCGCTGAGGGGGCAAGGGTGCGTGCGTGCGTTCATGTACTGCGACGAAGTGTATCACACATGAACATTGTTATCCGCTGTTTAGAGATTATGTTATGGTTGCCAGCATGAGCTTAAAAGTGTACGCAGGCTTTGCCTTGCGCAATAATGCAGCACTTTATCGCGACCTCGCTGGTTTACTTGTGTATTCCGCAGCCCAACAATTTCGGACGAGCGGTCCCGCTATGTAAATGAGGGTCCAGAGGGTCCCATGGCACGCTGGGAAGTTCCGAGCCAATCGAGTTCCGATATAGTATCTAACTTGACGAGTCTGGTAATTCTAGACGCCTCGCGACACCCCAGCAGCCCTCGCCTCTCCCCTTTGGCCCGGTGGGTGTCCCCCACCCGTGCCTTCGGGGCTCGCCCGCAGCGGCCTTCGCTGGGCTGCGGCCCTCCCCTCCCTACTCGCTCCGTGGGTCGCTCTGCTCCTGGTCTTCCTTGACCATTCCAGCGTCAGTTTCCACGGCCGTGGGGAGACATCTGGTGTGTGACCACGCTTGGGCTCAGGGGCAGCGCCACGCGACCGTCTGGGGTGGCTGGCCACTTCAGCCTCACTTCAGCAGGACCCCCCCTGGCAGGCAGCGCAGTCGTCCCCACCACCAATGTGCCGTCCCTCACCACATGACGGCGGTGCTGCATGCCTTCGGACCTCTTCGCTTCAGGACCCGGCAGCACAGTTGCGCCTTGGGCTGCCGCCGGCTCCCATCGGGACTGGGAGATGGGCTTCTGAGGGCCGGGCGCTGAGTGGTTCAGCCTACAAGGCCTGTACAGCCTTTGGTTTTCCCCCGCGCACTGTCTCGGTCGCCAGCGGACCTCTCAGTTTCAGGTGACGGCAACACGGTGCGCCTTGGGCTGCCGCTGGCTCCCCCTGGCTGGGAGGAGGATTTCTGAGGACCGGGCGCTGAGTGGATCAGCCTGCAGCGCCTGTGCAGCCTTTGGTCTTCCCCCGCGCACTGTCTCGGTTACACCGCTCAGCCATTCGGCTTGTGCAGGTCGGCCCGGAGTTTGGCGCCGCCCCGGCGACTCACTCCGATGCCTACGCACATTCTTCTCGGCAGCCCGTGTACTTCGATTCACGCTGCTGCGCTTGCTTGTGAATTCAGTTCATTTTGTTTTGTGCATGTGCAACCGCGAGTTTGTCTTGCAGGTGCGAGCTTGCCCGCCGACGCTGGCGGCTTCGTTTGCAAATTCGCCCCGTTCCGCCTCTCGGACGCCGCTTTCGCTCCCTGACCGTTGCCTTGGAGCCGCCGACCAAAAAAGTAACCCCACCAGCCCATCCAGAAACGATGCCCAGGCGAGTTGCTGTGATCAGGCTTGCAGTGGAATCAAGGGCTGGCTGACACGTCATACCCCAGGAGGGGGAGGATAGAAGATGATGATGATGAGGAGGAGGAAGCGGAGGAGAAGGAGGAGGAGGAGGAGGAGGAGGAAACGAAGGAGGAGACGAAAGAGGAGACGAAGGAGGAGCAGAAGGAGGAGGAGGAGGAGGAAGAAGAGGAGGGAGAGGGGGAGGAGAGAAGAGAGGAGGAAGGAGGACGAAAAGGCGAATGAGGAGGAGGAGGAGGAGGAGGAGGAGGAGGAGGGCGAGCAGAAAGGCCAGAGGCCTCTTGGACGCCTCTCGGAGTCTCGTCGGAGTTTTTTTTTGCGAGCTTCTTGGAGTCCTCTTGCGGCGTCTTGGAGTCCTCTTGGCAGTCCCAGGGTCCTCGTGCGGCGCTTTGGGTGCCTCTGGGGGATCTCTGGGGTCCTTTGGGAGGCTACTTGGGGGCATCTTCGGGGCCTCTTGAGGCCTCTTGGTGACCGTTTGGGAGCCTTGTGGGGGCGTCTTGGGAGCCGCTTGGGCGCCTTTTCGATAGCCTCTTGGGGCCTCCTGGGCGCCTCTTGGGGCACTCTTTGGACGCTCTTGGGAGCTTCGGGGGCCATCTTTGGCCATCTTGGAGGTGATCGATCAAAGAAGGAGGGATCCTCAATTAGCACCCCCCCATCGGAGACCAAACTGTAGCCAAAACAAGCCATTGAATTTGGCTTCATCGACGAGGCCATCTTGGACGCTCTTACAAATTACCGGCGACCGCCCCCGTCCAGACCCAGGGGGAGGGGGGAGGGGGAGGGGTCAAGCTATCCGCCTAGATAGCAGGCCGTCCAGCTCACTCCCACCCGCCCTCCCAACACATAAGTAACACCCGAGCGTCAGCAGATCGCCAAGGAACGCCACAAGTGCCATGCGCGCCACAAGTTCCAGGTGCACCAGGCACCCTGGAGGTCCAAGCGTGCCAGGTGCGGCACCTGCTCCACGTGCGCCAACTGCCATGTGCGCCAGGTGCGCCAGGTGCGCCAGGTGCGCCAGCTACGGGGAACTGGGGCCCTGGCTCCAAGGAGTTCAGAATTTGAATCCCCCTGAAGCGAAGTGCCGAGCATGCTGTGTGAAGGGCGGCTCCTCCAGGGAGTGCACAGCACCGGCACCAATAGACAAATTGTGACATTTTGAGGAGTCGTGAAACAGATGAGAGCTCAGAAAAAGGCGGCTCCTGCGCATGCTCCAGGTTTGGAGCCAAAGTGTATTTTGTATTAGTTTGGACAGGGATGGTTGAACTGCGCGCTGCAAGGCATATGCTGGCACCCGCGCATGTCAAAAACCAATGAAAAATTGTCGCGGGGCGCCGCGCATGCTTCAGATTCGGAGGCAAAGTGCATGTTGCATTTGTTTTTCAAGGAATGGGGAGGGAGGCTCATTGGTCCAGGTTGGCTGCCGGTCGCCTTCGGGAGGGGGTGTTCATCAATACGGAACAGTGACAAACCCCTCCCCGAAGGGGAAGAGGGAAGTTGGAAGAGGAAACTCGTTAAACGACTCACGCCCTGAGGGCTAGTGGGATTCCGTCCGTAAATCATATTCTAACGGAGCCATGGCCACAGAAAAGGTGCAGGGCTAGGGGGAAACATCTCCCCCTTGCGATGTCCTTCCTGGGTGCGGTGGGCCAACCATGGACCCGTTTCAGCTTAGTTGGGATTGTCGACCAGCCAGGAGGGCCCGCAGCTGCTGCGAGTGGAGTCCGCGGAAGGCGTGCCCAGCAGGCCAGGGGGGCTGCATGTGTGGACATCAGAGGAAGCTCCAGAGGGTGTGAGCGGTATCTCGATCTTTGGTTCTGTCCTTGGCCGCTCTCCCAGAGTCCCCAAGCAGCCCTGATCGAAGGTTTACATTCCTAGCTTGACGCCACAGCCCTTCTGCTCTGAGTTCAAATTTTTCTTCCAGTCTTGAGCGCTTCGCTCACAGATGGGTGGCCTAGAGCATTGAAGCTGGAGGATGGTCGGGGGCCGTTTGTCTGTAGGCGCTAGAGCACCACTGGTTGTCGTGACAGTGTCATGCATATCTTTGGGACTCCTCAGCATGGCTCATTCGATTCCGATTCGACTCGACTTTGGATTCCGATTCGGATTCTGGTTCCCAAGCGGAGGCCTTTCTAGCTTGCCGAGTTCCGCCGATTCGACTCCTCCCGACTTGGCGGCCGATCTCCGCTGATCCGATTTGTTTCGATCGTCGATCCGACTCATCGATTCGATTCTGGGCTCTCCTGCTCAGGCACGTGGTTGTCGGCGCTTGCCTCGCGCGGCACGCGCGCATCCCCTGCTTTGGTATTGTCCGCTTGCGCCGGTGCCGACACGTGCCAGTCCACGTTCCACGCCTGGAGCTGGTTCCTCTGGCCGCGCGCTCAGTGATCCTCATCCTCATCCGTATCCTCAGCTTCTTCCTCTATCTCTTTTCTGCCCCCCTTCTCGATTAGAGGAACAAGCAATGGCAGAAACATGCAAACTCTGAGGTCCGCGCGGATTCCTCGGATCGGCGCTGGGGCCCCTTCTTGGCGGAGCGCGCCAGGGGCGGCGCCGGAGGCGCCGCCAGGGGGCCCCAGCGCTGGTCCGAAGAATCCGCGCGGACCTCAGAGTTTTTATGTTTGCGTGGTGGTGGTGCGTGGTGGTGGTGCGTGGTGGTGGTACGTGGTGGTCATACGTTGGGGCCGTGCGTGGTGGGGTGGTACGTGGTGGTACGTGGTGGTGGTACGTGGTGGTGCGCGGTGGTACGTGGTGGTCATGCGTGGTGGTGTGTGGTGGTCATGCGTGGTGGTACGTGGTGGTCATGCGTGGTGGTCTTACTTGGTGGTCCGTGGTGGGGTGCGTGGTGGGGTACGTGGTGGTACGTGGCGGCACGTGGTGGTCATACGTGGTGGTCATGCGTGGTGTTGGTGCGTTGTGGTACGTGGTGGTGGTACGTGGTACGTGGTGGTGCGTGGTGGTCATAGGTGGTACGTGGTTATACGTGGTGGCACGTGGTGGTGGTACGTGGTGGTGGTACGTGGTGGCCATACGTGGTGGTGCGTGGTGGTACTCGGTGGTGCGTGGTGGTGTTACGTGGTGGTGCGTGGTGGTGCGTGGTTGTCATGCGTGGTGGTACTTGGTGGTGCGTGGTGGCCATGCGTGGTGATGCATGGTGGTACGTGGTTGTCATGCGTGGTGTGCGTGTGGTCATACGTGGTGGTCATGCGTGGTGGTACGTGGTGGCACGTGGAGGTGGTACGTGGTGGTGCGTGGTGGTCATACGTGGTGGTGCGTGGTGGTGCGTGGTGGTACATGGTGGTGGTGCATGGTGGTGCGCCGTGGTGGTGCGTGGTGGTGCGTGGTGGTGCGCGTGGTGGTACGTGGTGGTCGTGGTGGTGGTGCGTGGTGGTGCGTGGTGGTGGTGCGTGGTGGTGTGGTGGTGCGTGGTGGTGCTGGTGGTGGTGCGTGGTGGTGCGTGGTGGTCATGTGGTGGTGCGTGGTGGTGCGTGGTGGTGGTGCGTGGTGCACGTGGGCACGTGGTGGTTGTACGTGGTGGCGGTGCGTGGTGGTACGTGGTGGTGCGTGGTGGTGGTGCGTGGTGGTGCGTGGTGGCGCGCGGTTGCCATGCGTGGTGGTACGTGGTGGTACGTGGTGGTCATGCGTGGTGGTGCGTAGTGGTCATGCGCGGTGGTCATGCGTGGTGGTACGTGGTGGCACGTGGTGGTGGTACGTGGTGGTCATACGTGGTGGTCATACGTGGTGGTCA